AAAGAAGATTGTGAATTTACAAAGAGAAAAAGAAATTTGTGTCTTTATTGGGTTTATGGTTAACCATTTGTTATTTTGCGAGGATTGATCACCTTCTTTGTCCCTCCCTATTTATATACATTTTTTTCCCAAATCCACACCTCCAGTCAACACCCTGGATTCTCCAGCAAGCCTCAAAGTCTCCTTTGAACTGTGAGCTGTGCTGTCTTCACATCTCATCTCTGTCATAGCCTGACCCCAGGAAGGAGGGGCCAGCCATCAGTGTCGCCAGATCCTGTGCAGGGTCTTTACAGCAGTGTTCACTCCAGCCCATCAGCAAGGACTGTGACATCTTCCCCCAAACTCCATGATCTCAAGCTTCATGGGAAAGTAAAAAGTTGTCCCTGCTCACAGAACAATGAAGGCCACCGCTCGTGGCACATTTATAGTCCCTTGAGCAACTCCATACACAACCAGAATCCCAGAAATGGATCCTCACAACGACATCAGCAGACAAAGCGCTTCAATACAAAGAAACGGGTGATGGAAGTGAAGATTCAGCTTCTGCAGCACTGAGTGCTGGATATTGCTTTTATATGGGGCAATATTTTAAGGCCATCTGTGAAGACAGTCTTACAGTGACATATTTCTCTTCACATCCCAATGTAAATTTTGATGATTTTAAAAACAGAGCTGGAACCTTGAGAGGCCACATGACCTGTTCATCACTATTTCCATCTGACTTGGAATTTTCTTTTCTCAAAAAGGTTAAATTAAATTGTTTTAAAATGAATGCACAATTTTTGCCAATTCTGCCAGTCAAACTCACATTTTGAGATGCCTTCCATTGAGGAAAATATAGCCTTGAATTCACAATATAATTTTTCCTCCATCTCTAAATAATCAAGATTGAGTTTTGCAATTTTGTACAAAAACGAGAAAAGAGTTCATGTTTGATAATGTACACTCAGTTGCTAAGAAAAGTTTCCTTTTATAAAGTGTCAGACTTTACCAACTACAAAGTTATTGTCTTTAAAATAACTCTGGCCTATTCAACAAATACAAACAATGTTAATTCAAGATGCCCAGAATGCAAAAACAGAAGAGTATACCAATTTTGGTGCAAAACCAAAGGGATATTTTAAATTGCCACGAAGGGGAGGTAGAAATTAAAAGAAAGGGTCCCAAACACACATGGTTTCAGGAATAATGTAAATATTAAGTCTGGTCTGTCTGCATAATGCCAAGATGACTGGGAAGAAAGTAAAACATCAAACTCTTATATTATGTATGAAAAATCTACTGAATATCAGTGTTGGAAAAGGCCTTACAGATTAGCCCTTGCTTCTTTTACAGAAGGAAAAAAAGAAACAAAGTCTTTGTTCTTTTTGTTCTTTTTCTGGGTGTTGGGATTTGGAACTCACAGGGTCTGAACAGTGTTTTCTTTTCTTTCTCTTTCTTTCTTTCTCTCTCTCTCTCTCTCTCTCTCTCTCTCTCTCTCTCTCTCTCTCTCTCTCTCTCTTTCTTTCTTTCTTTCTTTCTTTCTTTCTTTCTGTAACATAGTTGATTGTATATATCTGTGGGGTACAGAGTTGAATCTCATTATGTGTGTGCAATGTGATGGTCAAATCAGGATAATTATATAATGTAGTCATCTTTTGTGGCCCTTTACCAATTCCTCCCTGACTCCCTCTTTGCCCCTGCTTTCCCACCTCTGGTAACCTCAGTTCTGTTTTCTCCTTTGGAAAGTTCAACATATTGTGATTGTTTTAGGCTTCTTTTGTTTTTGTTATTATTATTATTATTATTATTTAGTTCCCATTTATAAGTGAGAACATGTATTTCTCTATCTGTGCCTGGCTTATTCACTTAACATTGTTTTCTCTAAGGTCATCCGTGTTGCTGCAAATGTCAGGACTTCATTCTTTTTTATGGCTGAGTAGTACTCCATTGTGTATACATACCACAGTTTCCTTATCCAGTCTTCCAATGATGGACATTTAGGTTGGTTCCATGTCTTGGCTATTGTATATAGAGCTGCAATGAACATGGGAATGCAGATGTCCCTTCAACATGATGATTTCCATTCCTTTGGGTATACACCCAGCAGTGGGATTGCTGGATCATATGGCAGTTCTATCTGTAGTCGTTTGAAGAACCTACAGACTGTTTTCCATAATGGCTGCACTAATTTGCAGTCCCACCCACAGTGTGGGACAGTTCCCCTTTCTCCACATCTTTGCCAGCATTTGCTGAACAGTGTTTTTGAAAGTAATCCTGCCCAGGAATGGGGATAACAATCACCAAACTAGAGGCAAAATGACTACTTAGGAGGAGGCGATTTTCACAGGCTACACTTGGAGTAGGGCTATACCACTAGTAACGTTTTTGAAAGTAATCCTGCCCAGGAATGGGGATAACAATCACCAAACTAGAGGCAAAATGATTACTTAGGAGGAGGCGATTTTCACAGGCTACACTTGGAGTAGGGCTACACCACTAGTAATAGTGTTTCAGAATGTTTCATTGTCTTGAATTTAGATTAGGTATGCTGTCTCAAATTCCGATGGAACATAAAATGGGAAATATCCATTAGACGAATAAAATACAACTATAAGAAATATAGATCCAAAGAGTCTAACATCTATTCCTATTATCAGTACCATTGTAACAGAATTCTGGGTAAATTTTAAAATGTTTGAGGGGTTTTGGCCTCACATGCTAACGGGCCATCAGGGCCTGCAATGATGACCAAGGCTGTGCTTAACAGTGGCCCAGGGGACTGTGCAGCTCTGACTCATGCACACAGCACTGCTGAGGCAGCCACGACCTGGTGACATGCTGAAATTCACACCCGCTGGGCCTTGAATATCTCATTTTTCAAGAGGCACAGGAAATTTGAATTTTTAAAAGTTTTTAAAAATGCTTGTTGAATAAACACATATTCTAAAAGTGGAGATTGTTAAAGCTGAAGACAAATAACATTATATGAACTAGATAACTGATCACAATTTTTAGATTGCACACATGCCTGGCATCCTTTAGACTTCCTCTCTAGTGGTAAAGGCTTTCATCAGACTCAAAGTGGGGAAAAGTAAATACAGTTCATCAAATGCTTTTAAACCAAGCTTTGAAACACACACACATCTGCAGGGGATGGTGAAAGCCTGGACAAAGAAACAGTCAAGATAACTATTCATTTTGAAAATAAATTATTTCTTGGTTTTACAAAAGAGTTTTTCACACCAGATTTTCTTCACTGGAGAAGTACTCTTATGTTGATAAAGTAATGACGTTGATTTTACTGTGAGACTTATGAGCTGTCTCAGCAATGTGCATCCATAAGCTTCACAGGTAGTTTATAGATATTAATTCTTAAAAGATTATTTAGAATGTCCCTCTATGTTCAGAAAGCGTGGCCTTTAAGTTACCAAAGCTCTAAAATCCAAAAACATAGTTATTTTAAAATTAGCTTACATTTTCTTCTGCCCCAAAACTTGCATCAAAGCCTTTTTTGGAGCAAGGTGGAAGAAATATTAAAAAACAAACAAGCAAACAAATAAAGATATATCAGTAAAAATGTCTGCCAAACTATATGTGGGTTGAATTTTTCTAGAGAAATATCTGTTTTATTGCATTTTCTATCACTCAACTTCAAAAATTATTTTTTAAAACCGTATCTTCTCATGCACACACTTTAAGCCAAGTTATTTATGATAGGGTAGTTACTCTTTACGCTACCAGTTGTCTCTTTTTTCTTCTGATGCCTTTTATTGTTTTTTCAAAAGATCACTTAGTACTCAATGGCATCATAAAATTTATTATTTTGTAAAATGTCCTACATTTGATTCTTAAAAGCCTGAAGCCTCTGGGCCTAACAAATGTCTCTGTATAAAATACATTCCTCTTCCCTGTCGGAGAGTTGAACAGTATTTGGTCATTACAGAATTCAGTTTTCCAATTTTCAATTGACTGAAGACAGCTGTGTTCTCTCAAAGCTTCTCACATGATTTAATAATTCATGCATAGTTACAGGCGGAATCACAGACATTTACAGCTAGAAGTAGCATAAGAAGTTACATGAATCAATGTCTTCAAAGGAGTAGAAAAAGATCGCTGGGAACCCAAAGCTTCTACTTCGTGTTGCTTGAGCCACACACCAGCTTAATGGCCCACTGGGGAACAGGCCTCCACACTTCACACCGGGCACTTTAGCACCATGGAGTTTACACATCTCCCAAGCTCAGAGCCAGCGGGAGTCTGCTCTGCTACATCAGAGGATTTGACTCCTGAACCCCTACTCTGTCCACGTTCATCGGGAAAGGAGCCCTGTCTGCTGCTTTTCTCTCCACAAATTGCATGAGATTCATTTCAATTGAGCTTCGCTTGCTATGTGATTAAAGAGTAATAC